AAACTGCATGTCCGCATCGGTTTGAGTCACATGTATAAACGGACCCCTGCCCCCAGTCGCCTCGAAGGCATTCGCGGCGGAAATGTTGCGTGCTATAGCAGATATCACAATCCATGACTTGGCCGTCTTACCATAAGCATCTTTCGGTCTGCCCCAACGTCCCTCACCCGTTCCTGGGGCGCGCCCACGGCCCCTACCTGCCCCCAAGGATAGTTCTGTATGTTGTGGTCTAGTACGGGATGCCAAGAATGCCGAAATACCTCTGCCGTGCAATCGCCGTCGTTCGCCCTTGCCATTGCCTCAACCCTTGCCCTTCGCCCGAAGCGGCCGTCGAATATTTCGTCGTGCTTCGCGAACTTGTTTCTTCATGAAACGTCTCCATCTGCGTTTATGTTTCTGGTGCCCCAGGAATAGCCATTGAGCTCGTTGTTCCTCCGCGCGAGACTTGGGCATGTCGGAGTTGCCCAGGGCAGCCGCTGCATCGCCCGATGACGCTTCGGCGTCGGTCCCAGAGTCGAAGTTAGACTCGGATCGGAGGGTTGCCCCGCTGAGCCTGCAAGGGTAGTGGCTTGATCAAGGGCCGCCAGTGCCGACGGTCCCTGATAACTAGCCCAGGAAACTTGCGACCCTGGAGGCGGACCACCATTTTGGGCTGATAGAGCGGTGGTCTCCGCAGGTTGCGGATCGCCATTCCGAAAATTTGCAGCAGGCTGCCCTGCATTAGTGTCAGTATGAAAGGTTTCGGCGCGGTGACCGCGGCTAAAGATACCACCAATGTTGCCGGGAGTTCCCTCAGCCATGTGGGTATAGGATCTCGTGCGGTCATGTATAGCATCAATATGTTGTTGATTCCACTGCATATGGTGGTTGAATGGCTGTGGGGGTTGTTGTGCACGCGACGCCCCCACTCCTGCGGCTCTGAACAGAATTGCTGCTAGGATTCGAAAGTTGGGGATGTGGAAGCCTGCCGTCTCAGCTTCATAGCGGGCGATTTCGAAGCGCGCTAGATGCCCGGTCGATCCGTTCCCCCGTGTGGACGCGAAAGTCGATGAGAGCCGTTCCCGAGTTAAGTTGGCGCCCCCCCTAAGTTCTCAAACTTCGCGCTGCGGGGGAACATGTAGGTGACGCCATCGGCGTGGCGACCACCGATGTTAACGCCACCACTGATGACTGCGGGACTCATGGCCATCCGTGCGAGAGATCACAGACCACGCTGCAGTGCTGCAGCCTGTTGGGAAGGCGTCATAGCGCCTGTGGTCACGTTGATCCAGGCATGTGCCTCTCGAGCGAATTCGCGGCAAGGTACTTGGCAATGGGGGCCACTTGTTCTTGTGTCGTCTCCTCTGTCCCACAACACGCCCGATAGCGACCCATAGAAGGCCAAATATAACAACGCCAATCCAATGGCCCCGTAGGTCGTGGTCGGATATTAGTGGCTGGGGATTGTGGCGTTGTGTTGTAAGCCTGCGTGGGAATGGAGGCGGCGCAACATCGTATCGCTGGTTGCCCTGCATGGTGTCTTCAAACAAGTTTCCAAATGGAGTAGGTGGGTGGACTTCAAAGAGTGTAGTAGCGCAGGGCTGTAGGACTCATGTAAGAGGCCTCCGCGAAAGCAGAGGTAGCACTGCAATTGTCCTTGCATATGTGCGTAGTTATGTACAATCCTCCTCGCAGACCCACTGCGCCCTAATGTTCCACCATGTCAGTAGTCCACCGAATAATGCCGTGGATGGTGAGGAGTGGAGCTAGAGCCGACCACCATAGGCCAGTTCCGCTACCAAGTTTGAAGGGGGTTGGGAGGCCCAGCCAGCAGCTTCGCCTAAGGCGAAGCCCATATCCAACTCTACTCTGGTGTACCGTAGTAACGATAGCCCCGGACGTAGGAGATCGTCGCGGGAGCGACGGGCCATCTCAATCGAAGGTGTTTTTTGGTCCCGATGGAAAGTAGTGTGCCTCGCGATGCGGCGCAGTCAAATATTGGCGGCCGGCCGCTTGAACCCAAGCGACCGACCGCGGACAAACGCTCGATACATCTCGCGCCTATTCCAGCTCAGTTTAAAGCCCAAGAGCCTCGCAACAGCCTCGAAGAGACGCTCCGAGCAACGCCACAAGGGGTCCTGCAGGGCCCCCGCAGGGGCTGCGCCCTGTGGCGTCGCTCGGGGAGGGGGGGGTCGAGCAACAGGCTCCCAAGAGCGTCCTCGTGACCAACCACAACAGCACACTTATCTTGAAAACTGTTCGCTCTTATCTGCTCGCGGGCCACTCAACACGTATATCCCAAACCCTCTTCGACCGTGCCCCTTTGGAGGTATATAGCTATACTTCTTACCTGCAACGTGCATGTCGTGCTGAAGCCGGGCAAGAGAGGGCGGCTGGAAGGATGGGACAAAGTGGAAGGAGGAGGATGGAACACGAGAGAGAAAGTAGCAGGAGAGGGGGTTATGAGGAGGAAGTAAGGGTTCGTGGGTGAGAAAAGCAAAAGCGAAATCGCGTCCTGGGTGTCGAGGGTGCGGCGTCAGAATAAGTTGCGAGAGTCCGGCGCGAGAACGCGATTTTGAAATACAACGCGAAGACATACCAAGCGGGAACCGTTTTTGTTGGCCCAACCAACCGGTTTGGTGACACCCCACCTCCCCTTGCAAATACAACGGTTTCCGTGCAGGAGGGATCAAAAATTGTCCTTTAGAAGTGAAGAACTGACGATAACAATAACGACGATCAACAATAATGTTACTAATGTTGTCTGGTCGCGTGTTAATCAACACGTGCATCCCAAACCCTCGATACGCGTCCTCTGTGTGTTTGATCGGGCCCCCCCTCAGGGCAAATCATGTCGTCCCTGTGTGCCAAGTGTAGTTGGCGCGGCCCGCAGAACAGAGAAGGTCGGGTCGGGCGAAAGGGGGGGATAGCAAAGGGGGGGTTTGAGAATCAGCTCACGTAGCTGATTTTCCCGGCGCCTCCGGGCGCCGGGAGGCGCCCATGTATCGAGGAATGGGCCCGGCGACGGGGCCGAAACCAGCTGCATGCAGCAAATTTCGTAACCCCCCCTTTCCCAATCCTCCCCTTTCGCCTAGCTGGCCCGAGAAGGGAAGGGTGGACGGTTGGGAGCAGAAAAGCGGGCGGAACAACCAGACGGGCGGGTCGGGCGGGCGGATCCTAGCGGGCGGGGCGAGCTGGCGGGCCCCAGACGGCCGGGTCGAGCAGGAAAGTCGTCGCGGAAGCGCCAGTCCTGCACACGTGGCGATGTCCTGTCTGGCGACAGCGCGATTTCCGGGGCGAGAGCGTGATTCCTGCGTGTCGAGGGCGCGGCTTCGCAGGAAATTGCGGGGATGTCCCGAGCGAAAGCGCGATTATTGCACACATTGTGAAGGAGGCCCTCGCGAGAGGGAGATTGAATAAACTGACAAGAAAATTACAGCGGGGGCCGTTCTTGTTGTCGTTGAACACGCACGGGACCCCAACAACACAGTCTGATCCCCAAGATTTGCAAAAAAAAATGATCCGAGCTCCAGGGAGGGCACTTCGAACGAAAAAACGAGGGGCACCGGAGGGGTGGATCAACAACGATTATCCTTTAGATCTGCGACTTCAGCCGTGCGAGTGTATTTTTGTGTTCTTGCATGCCACATGTTGCCCATCGCTGGACATCGATCGGGACGACGAAACCGTGCTTTTGGCGAGCACCACTCGGCTGCAATCGCTTTGTGGCGTAACTAATCTCCCGAGCGTATTGGATTTCTTGGTTCCCTCGCCAACTTTCCATGAGCAAGCAATTATTTGCAAGGGTCAATCCTGTATTCCTCTATCTCTAAAAGCCATTTTGGGGGGGCAGGGGCACAGATGCCCCCTCCTCCTCCTCCTCCTCCTCGTTTTGACATTCGGACACGGAGGGCAGACTCCCCCACAATCCCCATTTCGAGCCCCAGGGGAGGGATCCAGGCTCCACCCCCCGCCCCCCGGTTTGAAGCGGCAAGGACGGGGGCCATCCCCTCCCCGCCCTTACTTTGAACCGATGTCGAGCTCTGCCTGAGCTTTGTTTGAGCTTTGTTTGCGCTTTGTTTGAGCTTTGTTTACACTTTGTTTGAGCTATGTTAGAGCTTTGCTTGAGCTTTGCGTCAGCATTGATTGACAATGTTTCAACTTTGGTTGAACGTTGTTTCTGCGTTGTCTGAACGTTGTCTTTATGATGGAGCTTTGTTTGAGCTTTCTTGGGCTCTGGCGGAGCTTTACTTGGGCTTTGTTTTAGCTGTGTTGGAGTTTTCCTTGAGCTTCGTTTGAGCTTTGTTTGAGCTCTGTTTGAGCCTTGTTTGCATGTCGTTTGAGCTCTTTGAGCTTTCGACGACGACAACGATGGAAAAGGCGATCCCCTTGTTCGGAGGGATGGGGGCATATTTACCTGTCCCTCCCTGGTTCGAACTGGGGGGGGGGCTTGCAAGAAGTAGAAAGCGCTCTTTCCTATGTCACCGATCCCCCCATCTTGACCCCCATCGTGACTATGCATACATTGTTAAGATCTTATGCCGCAGCGGTGACATTGCACCGAGAATACTTGCCCACTGTCGGGTCACAGCTTCGCACCGAGAGAGCATGCAAGTATGTCCGCGTTGCCTTCTTTTGGCACAGCCAATTCATCTGTCCACCGACGAGTACTTGCACGCTCTGTGTTAGTCGGGTGCTCGCAGACAATGATGCTCTGTTGCACAGGTGTCTCCAGGATGAGGGGTATGGGAAAAACGGATATGCAAAAGACACATCCGCCTCATCGAAAACAATGTGCCTGGACGCGAGCTCTTCCTCCTTCTCCTCCTTCCCCGTCACCTCCTCCATGTCTCGTCTTCTCCTCGCCCTATCTCCTCGCCGTGTGCTGCCGGTTTGGCCAATCCCCCTCAAATCTTCGAGTCCCCCTCCTCCGCTCTCCTCCGCCTCCGCACCGTCTTGGGCAGTGGGCTCATCAGCGAATCTGTGCGGCACTGGGTCTGGCATTCTTTCCAGACCCCGGCTCTCCACATTGCCCGAGGGGCCGAACATCTCGTGGCAGCACCAGCTCGGGTCCACCTGCCTGAGCGGGGGAGAGGACGCGAGGTGGGGGCGGGGGGCCAGAGGAGCAAGGACGGCGAAGGACGGACGAGGAGGGGGGGCCAGGGGAGGGGGGCCGGAGAGGATGGAGAAGGAGCAGGATCGATGGTCCGGTAGGATGGGCGAGGAAGGATGGGGCAGGGAGAGTGGGCGAGGAAGGATGGGCGGGGGAGGATGGGCGAGGACAAGCGAGGAAGTATGGGATCTTCCCTTTTCTATCCTCCGCCATCTTGCCGCCAGGTGACGCAGGACGGAAAAGGGAAGCTGATGAGGGACGAAGGCTCTAAAGTTTGGGAAAGGTTCGGGGTCCAGGGGGGCAAGCGAGGGAAGGGACCAGGAGCGATGGGGCAAGATGACGGAGGATAAAAAAGGGAAGGTGATGAGGGATGAAGGCTCCAGAAGTTTGGGGAAGGTTCGGGGGGCCCAGGTGGACAAGCGAGGGCGGCCTTGTGCATGCGGACGGACTGTGACTGCATCTAGTGGAAGACGAGACTATAGCGGGAAGGATGAAGAAGAGAAAAGGATGAATGAGCAGGCGGAAGGTGAGGACAAACGGTGTTAGGAATACAACAAGGGGGGATGAAAAGGGAGGTGGAAGCGAGGGCAGCGGATGATGAGGAAGGACTGAAAGGGGGAGTGAGAAGCGGGGCGAGGGAGGAGCGTGGAGATGTCAAGAAATAGGCGGGAGAAGGATGGGGAGACCAAGAAAGAGAAGAACGTGCCCTGCGGCTTTCGGAGCGGATTGTCGGCCTGGTCCCGTGCCGGCCCCAGCACTCCTCCGGATGGGATCGGTTTGGTGTTCTTCCTCTCCTGCTGCTCTTACTGCTTTTCCTCGGCTTCCTCCTGCTGATCCTCATCCTTCCCCTTCATCTTCCTCATGTTCCGTCCTCCCTGCTCCCTGGGGAAACCACAAGGTACCCATACTGCTACTCCCTGGATCTCTCCGGGGGTGCGCTCTGACCAGAACTTCGAGGCGAATCCAGCGGTGGCAACGAGGGCCTCCCAGGAGTCCCACCCCCACAAAAAAAAGGGCAGGGTAGCATTATGGGTACCTTCTCCTCCTCTGAGCTCCTACTCGTCCTTCCTGCATGCTATCCTTTCGATTCCCTCCTGCTCCTCCCTTTCCAGTGGCTCTCTGTTGACTCCCACCAATCCCTGATCGAATGGGGCTACTCGATGGGGCCCCCAAACGCCGGCGCTCCTCCTCGTCGCTGTGCCGCGTAGCGCTCCTGCGGCCGCCAGTGCCGTTGCGGCAGCACTCGGGTTGAAGGCGCCCGTCTGGGACCAGTGTCGTCCTCTCGGTATGGGGAAGGGGGGAGGGGCGGGGTCCGAGGAGCAGCCGGGGGCGCCGGAGTCTGACCGCACAAGCACAGGGATGACGACGAGGGCGAGAGGGAAGTTAGGCGGGCTCGCACCATATCTGACATCCTACCCCTCCCACCCACTCCTTCCCGTTGTGCTGTAAGTGTCACCATCCGCCGACGCGTGTCGTAGCGGAGGTGGATCCCGAAAAGACCCCGTCGTGGTGTCCGCAAGTAACTACTTGCTGGCGCATGAGCCAGAGGATCGGATAAGAAAGAGGAAGCGGATGAAGAGGAATAACGAGTAGGACGGCAGGAGAGGAAAAGGGAGGAAGAGGGAGGGGAAGAGGAAGAGGCCAGGAAGGGAGGAGGAGGGAGGAAGAGGAGAGGAAGACGAGGGAGGAAGAGGAGAGCAAGAGGAATAGGAGGAAGGAGCGGGAGGACCGCGGCGAGCCGAGGAGGTGGAAGGAGTGAGGCGACAACGAATGACGGGAGCAAGGCAGCCACCGAGACATGATGCTAACGCTGCAGCGGGAGCACTATTGTGAAACACAGGGAGCGCTTCGACTGACACAAACACACATGAAACATCATGTTTTGACACCTTGTGACGCATACCAAAACAACCATACGCGGGACAAATACTGCTTCGCTGGAGCTTGATCCAAGGAAATAGGGTTACGTCTTCGACCGTGCAACCCTCGCTATCCATCAGCCTCGGGCGGTCTTCGGCTGTCTTCGGGGCGAGAGCTGACTACCCAGCGGTCGGAAGGAGTAGGGAGAAACACGAAGGAGGAAGGCGTCGAAAACAGATTGGGCGCCCGCCCGCCTCCTAAAAAGAGGACGGAAGGTGTGAAGCCACTCGATCATCGGAACACGAGGGCGCTTAGAGCAGACCAGAATCCTGGACTCCAGAAACACCTAATTTCAACGAGCGATGGGCAGCGGCGGCCCACAGGGGGTCGCAGGCAACGAGATTGACACCAACACCAATTTCGGCGGTGTGCCTCCACCGAGGGATGAAGATCCCGATCTCGGTGATGGCGGCAATATTCTGGCTTCCAAGGTGGCCGAACTGTTGCCACCGACACCGAAAATCTGGGATCCTCTTCCCCCTGTGGAGGCAACCCTCTGTCTTGGTGTTGGTGCCAACTTCCAGGCCTCCGACAAAGGGGGTCCACGATCGAACGCCCGCGGGGGGAGAGCAGCACTCGCGTGGAGCAGCTGCGGAGACAGGAGGCGGGCCCCTCCCCCCTCCGGGCGGAGCCGCCGGCCTCTCCACCTCCCGCCTCCCCGTGCGCCCTCCGCTGCGCTGAGGTCGGGGGGCATGTCCTCCTAAAGGCGGATCTGAGAATCGAGAAGGGTCAACAAAATTGTAGAAGTAGCCACAAAATAGTCGAAACATCGTCCACGGACTATTTTGTGGACTGTTCTGGACTACTACTCCTGTAGAGGGACATGCCCGACTCAACGCTACTCTCACGGCCCACGCCATGCGCTCCCCACCCTCTGGCGAGTCGGGGAGGGGAGGGGCAGGAGACAGGGACCATGACCGAGACGGAACGCAGAAGCGTCGCGTCGATCTCGGTTACCGTCGATCTTGGCCACTGGCCGACATGGACCATGACCGCGATCGGCAACGGGAAAATCCCGCGACGTCTTGGTCACGGTCCCCGTATTCTTCCCTCGAGGGAGAGGGAGTGGCACGGCCGCGGTCAGGCCCGCTTCAAGGGCGCGGCCTACTTGGGCGCGTCGGGAGGGGAGGCCAGGGATGTTCGCACACGGGGGGGGGGGGGCAGGAACTACGTGGGTCAAGAAACGTGCAACTTTCGTGCACCTTTTGGGCACGTGGTGGCAGCTGTTCGGGCCGGTCGGGGCCCCTTCAGGGCAGCGTAGACAGACTCCACGGGGCCGTGGTCCAGAAACACACAACTCAACAAAACCAGTCGGCGGCTAAAAAAAAATATGCTGATGCTGGGAAGCCGATCAGAAGAGGATGCGGACGAGGAAATGAGGAACCGGAACAACTGGATGAGATGAGGAAAAGGAATGGCATGACATCTGGGAGAGGGCGAAGACGAGGAGGGAACAGAGGAGGGTGCGAGGCCGATCATGCGAGAGGAGGAGGAGGAGGCCGAGGAACACGAGATGGGAGATGGTGCATGAAGAGAGGGTAACGAGGAAAGATGATGAGGACGGGGGAGACGGGTAACATGATCATTGCGACGCGGATGATAGGGGGAAAGAGGAAGAGGAGGAACGGATACGCGCCTTCATGGCACGCCACGCCCCCCCCCAAAAAAAGGGCCTGCATCCGCGAAGGCTCGGCATGGCGGCCGCGCGCTGGTACTCGGGCATCTGCTCGTGGCTGACCGGGTGCGCGAAGATCACGCACTCGTCAGCCACGGGTGCTCCGCTCTCGTGCCGTGGTCTATGCTGGTCGACCCGACGGTCGTGGCAGGCCCGGGGACAAGCAAACCGACCACTCGAGAGGGGCCAGGACAATGCTGATCTCCCCAACAGCGTGGTCGATATTAGGGCCACGGATGCTGCGACGCGCGACCGCCGCTCTCAAGCTCAACGCTGTCCTACAATCTCACAGTGAGATCCACATATTCAGGCTCATGTTTGGGACAACGGAAATGCCCTTCTGGTTGTCTGTGAGCCTCCCCCGGGCCTTCCGGGCCTTCCGGGCAACCTACCGACCACGGCTCTTGAACGGGTAGCCAACGATCTCGGCGTCGTCCCCAAGGAACTCGGGCCAGATGACGAGCGTCTTGAAAATGCAGTCCGAGAGGATGACGTCCATCATCCCCTGCCCCGCCCAATCGTGCAGGAGGGCGTCAAGGCAGGCGATGAACCCCTGCTGTCTGTCCATTCGCGACAGGAGGTTTCTGTTCAGCACGACGTTGCCGAACAGGTAGAGTCGCATGTTTGCCTCGCGGAAGCGCCCCAGCTGCGACCAGGCAGTCTTTGGCCACCCGACGTGGTGCGGCTGCCAAGGCTTGAAGCACGCGAGTCTCTGAAGCAACCTGGACAGTGGATCCGGCGGCGCGGGGGGGGGGGCGTCCGATTCTGTTTTTTGCAACAGTAGGGGCTCTTCCACAAGAAACCTTCAACAAGAAACCCAACCCTGAGACTCCGGGACGTCCATTGATTTTTGGTGTGGGGACGTCACGCGTTCCACAGCAGAACCATCGAAGCCCAAGAAATCCAGGGCACCCTGGAAGCAAGCTGGGTGTTTCTTAGCATGGGCCCCCCCTGTACTGCCCGTGGCATCCAACCATCGTCAAGCAATGTAGGGAGAAAAATAAGGACCGAAAAAGGGGAAACAGAAGGGAGCGAGCCCGTGTGTTGGCAGCGCCCTTGTATGTGCACAAAAAGTTCCACGCGGCGTGAAGGAGCAAAAGCCGGGGGGGGAGGACTGCGTTGGACGGGTCCAGAATGAACCCCGCGCAACCCCATCTGGGAACATGTCCCTCAAATCCACCACCGTGCTGCAAGGCACTGTTGCAGTGCCCTCAAGTCCCTCCGAGTTCTCTGCATGGAATCCCACCAGCTCTCCCTACGGACCGAGGTGGTCTGCGGCGCTTCCTCTTCCAACCCGCTCACTCCGTTCGGGAAAGGTTTATCCCTCCCTCATCCAACCCCCCTGGGTCCAACGGGGGGGGCATCGCAGGGGGCTTGAGCGTCTAAGATTGCCCAAGATGGCACCAGTGGAGGTCAAGATGATATCCACGACTTCACAACACTGCCCAAATGGCTCAACATACCCTCCATCAACAAAAAACTCCGAGATGCCCCAAAACCGCTCCAAGACGGCTCCAAGTGGCGCGGGAGCGTCCCAAGGACGCCCCGAGAGGCCAGCATCCTTCCCAAACCTAATGGAAACCAAAAATGTTGGCCTTCTCGCCATTTCTGTTCCAATGGGCTTCCGCGGCATCTAAATAACTCCAAGATGGCGCAAACGAGCGCCAAGACGTCGAAGGCGGCCCAGAAAGCGATCAAGAGCGCCTCAACGGGCGCCTCAATGGTTCACCCTTCGATCCCAAGACGGGGGGTCGTTGGTCGGCGCCGTTCCCTCTTTTGATCGATGGCCTCCAAGAGTGCCCTCAAGGCCAGAAATAGGGCCCCAAGTGGACCCCGGCAAGTCCCCCAAAGCCTCCCAAATGGTCCCATGATGACGCAAGTGGGCTGCCAAAAGGCATTTCGATTGCCTCCTGGGTCTGCGCAGGATGATACCGAGCTTCGGTCTGACGGCTGCCCCCCTCCCCCCCTTGTCTGTTCCACTGGATGCTCCTACGCTTCCCTGAATAGCGCAAGTCGTTTGGGCATCGTTTCTGGATGATTTGGTGGGTATACCCGAAGCGTCAAACATATTGTGCGGCCCGGGCTGCGTTGTTGGGAATCCCTGCGTGACGTTTTCCAAAGGCCACGGGAACGCGAATTGAAATCACTACTTCCAATATGGCGAAGACGCCAAGACCCTTCATGGGCGCCCTTTGGGCAGTCTTGGAGGCCCCGCGGGCACGCTCAAGGCCGAGGTAGTTGAGGAGGAACGCTGTCTTCTGTAAGTTTGGCATATTTGCCTTGTGCGCCCAAGGCGTCCCCCAAAAGGCCCCCAAGAGCGCTCAAACACGGCCCCCGAAAACCCTCAAGAGGAATCAGGATGCCGGAAATGCGGCCCAAAAAGGGGACCCCAACGACCTGATATGCCGAGCCCTTCTCCCCACGATCGTTCCAGAGACTGCCATCAGGCCCTAGAGAGGCCCTAAAGAAACATCACAGAGGCACCAAGAAATGCCCCGGTGAAGGTTCCAAGAGGCCTCTTGTCCCCACCCCAACCACGGTGGCGGGACGGGTCGGGTTCTACCACGTGTTAGCCAGAACGGGCCCCAAACAATGCGTCCGAATTATACGAGGTGTAAAATATATGTTGGGCAATCGTGGTGTGCAGATGGTGTTGAATCGATTGTAGATGTCCACTCTTTTGCTCGCGCTACCATCCCACCCACCCACCCACCCACCCGCGACTTGGTTCGAAAAGCCCAAGGGCCAGCGATTGCGATTAATGCTTGCTGTTGCTTGGTGCATTTATGCGGCCGCGCTGGCCCGCGCAAGCTCGAGCGCACAGCGGCCAGCCAGCTTGGCGCGACCGACGCGGTCCGGTGACGTTGACAGCTGGGCATTCCCCAGCGGGCACTTCAGTGTGAGTCGGTGACTTGGGCGGGCGCGGTATCATGGCGACGTCGAACCCAGCAAACACGACCGATGAGCAGCGATGGTGGTGACGATGATGACGATGACGACGGCAAGGCCGATGACGGCGCTGATCCGGATCACGCCGATGACGGCGACCATGTCGTCGCGTCAGCGATGAAATTTTGGAGAAAAATTCGACCTGCGCGACCGATGCGCACGAATGGCCCGCATGCTCGTACTTATGTCCCCCCAAGCACGCGCGCGCAAGGCGATTGAATGATTTGAGAGAGCGTGATCCACCGCCGCTTTACTGTGGAAAATTGCCAACCTTTTCCTCCGGAGCCCGGGGTCGCCCCCCCCCCCCCCTCCGAAAATCCCCCCCCCTGCTGGAACCCTCCCCCCCCCCCCCCCCCTCCTCCCCCGGCAAAACCCCCCCCTCCCCTAACCCTCCCCCCCCCCCCCCCCCTCCCGCTCGAAAACCGGGGGTCACTACCGGTTTCGAACCCCCCCCCCCCCCCCCCCCTCCGGATCCGGAAAACCGGGGGGGGTCACTACCGGTTCGAACCCCCCCCCCCCCCCCCCCCCCCCCCCCCCCCCCCCCCCCCCCCCCCCCCCCTACTCACCGCCAGCAAACGACTCCCGGTCCCCACCACCGTCCGCATCACATCCCCCACTGGTGTTCCCAGCACCACTGTCCTCACCACCGCTGTCCCCACTGGTTCCACCACCGCCCCTACTGTCCCCACCAGTGGCCCCACCACTGTCGCACTGTCCCCGCTGTCCCCAGAACTGTTCCCACCACGGTTCCACTCTCCCCACTGTCTCCACGGCCCCAACCACTGCCCGACTATCCCCACTGTCCCCACTGTCCCACTGACTCCTCCGCTGTCCCACTGAGCTGTCCCACTGTTCCCACCACTGTCCCCACTGTCCCCACCACTGTCCCCACTGTACCTCTGTCCCATTGTCCCACCGCCGTCCTCGCCACCGCCTTCACCACTGTCCCCACCACCATTGTACCCTCCACTGTCCCACTGTTTCCACCTCATTCCCATTGTCCCCACACCACTGTCCCCACCACCACCGTCACCACCACTGTCCACTGTCCCCCCCTGTTCCCACCATTGTCCCCACCACTGTCCCCACCACTACCGTCCCCACCACTGTCCCACTGTCCCACTGTCCCCACCACTGTCCCGCTATCCCCTCACCACTGTCCCCACCAACACCGTCCCCACCAACACCGTCCCCACCACTGTCCGCACCCCCACTCGGTTTTCGAGGGGGGGGGGGGGGTTCGAACCGGTAGTGACCCCCCCCGGTTTTCCGGATCCGGAGGGGGGGGGGGGGGGGAGGGGGGGGGGGGGGGGGTTCGAACCGGTAGTGACCCCCCCCCCCCCCCCCTTTTCATCATGAGCAGGGGGGGGGGGGGAGGGGTTCGAACCGGTAGTGACCCCCCCCCCGGTTTTTCCGGAGGGGGGGGGGGGGGGGGGGGAGGGGTTCGAACCGGTAGTGACCCCCCCCGGTTTTCCGCCAGCAGCGGTAGAACACGCTCTTTCAATGATTTGGACATGCGTCGCGGGCGGCCCGTTTCTTCGAATGTGGACATACGGTCTTCCCAAGACCTCGCAAAAACGCGAGGGTCGGCTTCTTTAAAAACGGATGCTGCACAACTGTGCGTAGTTTACATTAGTAGTTTCCAGGTCACCAAGTGCTGAGCTGCTGAGCTCCCTGCGAAAAGTAAAGTGGTTGAGGGATCTCGGCATGCGCGCGCAACGACGCGCGCGCGTGCACTTCGTCTTGCTTGTTGCACTTTCTCTGGCGACATCACACGCGCGAAGGTTTTCGAACGATGTCAACATGCGCGTGCGAGAGGCCAGTTTGGTCGAGCTCGCCAAACATATTGGGCAACCGATGGTGTTCGCAAGACATCACGAGACCGCGCTCGCAGGCGTTTTTGAAACTGCTATTGCAAAACATGTGCTTGTATGCTTTCGGGGCCATCGAAGTTGAAGTCGGTGCGAAACCTGCGGCTTTTGCCCCTCTCGCCGCTGGCCCGAGGTCGCGGGAGGGGGCGACGTTGCGGCGGCGCCCCCAGCGGGCGTAGACCGTTGCGTCGCTGCGCGCGCGCACAGCGGATCACTCCATCTTGCATGCAACCACGTGGCTGATCGGGTCGCAGGACGGCTGCGCGCGGGCCGCGCCTGCGGCGCGCCACTTGCGGCGCCGCCGAGAGCAAAGGATGGCAGCGCCCGCGGGTCGCGAATCGCGCGGCGCAACGTGATATTGAGACTGCGCTGTCGCGCGCGAGCACGCCAACCAAAAGTCGCGGTTGCTGCGCAGCGGCATGGCCTGCAGCGCGAACGCGCCGCGGCGGCCATGCTGGCCGGCCGCGCTGGCTGAGACTGGTCACTTGCGACGAACGCGTCGACGTTTCCCTTGCCGATGCACGCGAACACGGGCTGCGGGCGGACAAGGCCGACGCGGCGCGGAGGGCGCGGTCGTCGAAGGCGCAGCGCGCAAACAACAAAAAACGCTTCTGGCTGGAAGCCGACCCGGAGCGCGTTGCCATGACATCAGAATGGAGGCGAGCATGGAAACGCGGCGGCGGCGCCGGCTCTGACCAGCGGGCGGCCTGGCCCGCATCCGGACACGCGGGCCGCAGACGCGTGCACTTCCGGCCTGGGGCCAGGAAGCGCCCTCAGCAGCCGCGCGCATCAGCGGGCGCGCCGCGCTTCCCATGGGGCCGCGCAGACAACTGCGGATGGCAATTTTAGCGCGCGGCAGCTAGCGCGCCGCAGTGGGCCGGAGGTCAAAACAGCGGCGCTTT